TATTTGCCGTCCTGCAAGACTGCCCCTCACCTCCATATTTGACTCGAGTTGAGAGTTCTCGAAATAAAAAGAGTGAATTTTGTTCCCTCATTCATTTTTTTTTTTTTTTTATTATTATTCAAAAGCTTGTAATTCAATAATAAAACAAATAACGACAGAGACATGTTCAAATGAATAAGGAATGAAGACACTGCAAAAAAAAAAAAACTTCCCGTCCAATCACATCAATGCCAAATTAGTCCAATATTTAATTTACGTTCAAAAAATAGTTTTTAATTACATAAAAATCATAAATAAAATTTTATATCTCTATTGAAAATTATATAAAATCCTTAAAATATTTTTGATTTATTCTGATAGTGATTACATTTTGCAATTTGATACTTGATGTTTTGACAATATAATCGTTATCTATATTAGAGATAGTGTGGTCAATCTAGTTATTTATGAGGATTACATCGAAATCTTTAGGGGGGGAGGGGGTTTGCTAACTGCCACTTGAATTGGACCATGAGACTTCACACTAAGTCCATTGGATATTCCACGATTGTGCAATCAGTGTGAAATCTAGTGGGGCGTCAACATAGACATCCTAATAGGATTTCACTTGAGGCGTAACACAACAGATCCATCTGTGTACAATCCACAATGGGTTACGGCTGTTATATATATATATATATATACATACACACATGCATTTTAGTTGAAACTCCAGAGAATAATTAACCATAGTGTCTTCTAGATTTCTGATTCCCTCTATTAGTAAAGATCATTCCCAAAAGCATACACATGCTGTGATGTTTCAATTTTTAGATTTGATTTGTTAAATTCTGAATAAGAGAGAAAGAGAGATCCTTGATGAACAGTCCTTGTAATAGATTTATTTAATTCTCAGAAAAAGTGGATTATTGTACGAATGGATTTATTTTTTCGTTCAGAAAATTGAGTAGTGGGGAAGAGATAATGTCGAGTGGCTGAAGGTAAAGTGGAGGGGATGCCTGAGCGCCTAGTGGGGTAGAGCTAACGTTGAGTGGCTGTTGGTAGAGTGGAGGGGATGCTTGAGCGCCTAGTGGGGTAGAGCTAACGTTGAGTGGCTGTTGGTAGAGTGGAGGGGATGCCTGGGCACCTAGTGGGGTAGAGCTAGCGTTGAGTGGCTGTTGGTAGAGTGGAGGGGATGCCTGAGCGCCTAGTGGGGCAGAGCTAACGTTGAGTGGCTGTTGGTAGAGTGGAGGGGATGCCTGGGCACCTAGTGGGGTAGAGTTAACGTTGAGTGGCTGTTGGTAGAGTGGAGGGGATGCCTGAGCGCCTAGTGGGGTAGAGCTAACGTTGAGTGGCTGTTGGTAGAGTGGAGGGGATGCCTGAGCGCCTAGTGGGGTAGAGCTAGCGTTCAGTGGCTGTTGGTAGAGTGGAGGGGATGCCTGAGCGCCTAGTGGGGTAGAGCTGGCGTTCAGTGGCTGTTGGTAGAGTGGAGGGGATGCCTGAGCGCCTAGTGGGGTAGAGCTAACGTTGAGTGGCTGTTGGTAGAGTGGAGGGGATGCCTGAGCGCCTAGTAGAGGAAGGCTGACGTTGAATGGCTGAAGTTAGAGTGGAGGGGATACAGCGCGGCATCGCCGAATAGGAGCGAAGTTAACTGGAAAGGGATAAGCGCCCACTGGCTACCAGTAAAGTGGAGGGGATGTAGCGTCACACAGTGGCAAAAAAAACTAACACAATAGAAAATAAAATACAAAAAAAAAATGTCAATATTACAGCTTTTAGCGACACAGCTAATAACTAAAAACTTTCCCTTCTCTCCCACCGACCTTTTTATACTGTTTCTTTAAAATATCACCGCCTCTTTGAAATTCAACATTGAGATTCGTTGACCTTTAAAGATCAATGTTCCCAAAGAAGCGGTTTGGAAGTTATTTTTACCATCTTCTACTCCTCGAAAGAAATATTCAACAATTCTAATTTCAAATAGCTATATAATTTTGAAGATTCATGATTGTAGGAGGGGAGAAATTAAAGAAGTCAAAACAAGGTCTTTAGTAATCCGAGACATTCTTAAAGGTCAGACTATTATTTACTGCCGATATTAAATCGGTATCAGATTTTCTTTTGTCATAAATGTCATTTAAAAAAAAGAAACATTTCTAATTAATAGTATATTTTTAATTAACAATGTTTTTATTTTTTTGGGGGGGGAGAGGGGGTTTCTGTGGGGTTAAACATCATCTCGCCTGAGGCTGAAGCGTGACGTGTTTATGCAGCGGTCCACTCGTAAACTTTTGCAATATTTTCTTTCTCGTTCTTTTTTTTTTTTTTTTTTTTACTCTCCGCCTCCTGGACGAGTTCATGCATCTCGCCCCCGTTCACGAGCTTCTTCGTCGGCACGAAAGGATCCTGGACCGCCCGTTGGTCTGATGTTCCTCTTTCCCGCGAGCGGCTTCTCGTCTCCTTCATCTTCTTTTGACTTTTGCGTCCTTCCTGACTCCCTTTCTACCTTGTTCTCTAGGGCGCGTCGAACTCAACCGATTCGCCGCCAGATATGATTTTACAATCGACTCATGCCAGTCGAAACTGTAGAGAGGGGGGGGGGCAACCAAGAGAGATGACGAAGGAGTCGACGATATCTTTTTCTTTTTTTTACCTCTGTACCTTCTTGCTCGATTTCTAATCTTGAAGGCTTGTTGGAGAACCGGAAGTTCACAAAGGTCAAACTCACGTTTTATCCCTTTTTTTTAAAAAACTATTTTTATAATAAAAATTCTCGGATGCTTTCTTTAAAAATTTATTTTTTCATATATTTAATTTCTTTAGGAAACCTCCTCGTTATGAAGGAGAAAAAAAAATTAATGAAGATGTATATTCAGATTTTTTTTAATTACAAGAAACTTTTCTAATATATAAAGTAAAGATGTCTTAACAACAAATTTTAACGAGATCATCAAAAAAAAAAAATTTTCTTTTTTCTTATTCACACTTTTCAAAAGATTTTTTTTCATAACGAACCCTTTTGTTAGTTGATATATTCATGAATGTTAATGTCAATTTCATTCGATTCTTTTTGATATAAAAAATAAATTCAAAATTGCTCTCTAGAGAAGTTCATAAATGTTTTTCTTAATTATCTGTCACTCCAATGACTGAATAGAATATATGTGTCGTAAAAATTGTTTTGATTGGAGAATATGTATCGTTACTGTTTTTAATTAAACTCTTCTCTTGTTTTTATCCTCGTATTTTTTTTTTTTTAATTATTGACTTTTATTATTATATTCCTCTTTTCTGTTTTGTTTCGATTATAAAAAGAATCGTCAATTTCTAATGAGATTCTCAATTGGAGTTTGAATTGTCAAAGGAAAAATATTTATGAAATGGGAAATATTAAATTTTGAAAAAAAGTATAAATATAATAAATATATTCGTACAATATTTAATAAATTATACGCAAATAATGAAGGTAAAAATTCTTTTATTTCTATACTAGAAAAAGAAGAATATTTTTTTATTGTTTCTAACAGGTATGATGGAAAACTGTAAATTAGCTGAGGTATTTTACCGGAACGTAAACATATGCAGCGTATGCAGATTTTTGAATTATATTTCTCAAGTTTTATAAGGATGAGCTGAGTTTTAGTCACAGTATATATACATTCTCAAGGATTTTTGCAGGTGTAACGCCTTTGGCAAATTAAATATAAAATTGATATAATTCGACACGAGTGGTTAAAATACAAGCAAAAAAAAATTAATCTTTTTGTCCGAAAGGTATTTTGAAATATTTTTGTTTTTTTAAATAATATAGAAACAAAATAGTTTGAGAATTATAGTAAATATAAAGTGGAGGGGATAAATCGAGGTCACGTGTAAAGAGTAGAGGGAGTACAGAAGCGATGATTGGCTATCGGTAATGTGGAGGGGGTTATCGTAGCGCTTATTGGCTGACGGTAACCATGGAGAGGGATACAATGACGCTGAATAGGATATCGACTAACATTAAGGGAAAAATCAAATCAATTTTTAAAATTATAGCAAAAATTAATAGAAATAAATATTTTTAATAATTTTTGTTTGGTTTTTAAACGAGCAAAAAAAAATTTACAAGAACAAGTTTATCTTCTTTCCCCCTCTTCCAATATCGAACAATTGGGAGACAAGTTAAAGAGCTTGTCCTTGCGATTTAGAGTCTCTTTCTCTCTACTCGAATCATTGATTACGAGAGTAAGAGCCCGATGAACCGGAAGTCGTTGAACTCAGAGAAATGGCGATGCTGTGTGGCGGTATGTCGTTAATTCCTGCACTCGTTCTCTTGTAATTGAACGCGCTCCGAATCGCGTTCCTTTTTTTTTTCTCTCTCTCTCTCTTTCTCTCTCTCTCTCTCTCGACTGAAACTTGATTCCACATCCTTGGTCACGAAGAACGATTTGCACGCGCATATCGTCCATTAGTTAACTCCCGTCTTTAATCGACGCAGATAGCGGGCTTCAAATAAGAGAAGAAGGTAAAGAAAGAGAGAGAAATCGATTCATTAAACGTTGGTGGCTTCAAGTTCTTGCAGCAATTGCATAAATTAATTTTAACGAATTATTCCCACATTTTGTGGGGATTTTTTTCTTTATATAAAATATATCTTTAGAATTGAGTCAAAATTTTAAACAAAATATAAACCATTTTAATTTAAAATAAATTTTTATTAATATGAATTAAATACAATTAAATTTTTATTATAAATAGAATTTTTTTTATATAAAAAACGATGTGAGTCATTTTTTTTTGATAGATTCTAAGTACCCACACTAAAAATTTACATAGTCCTTGAGAATAATTTATAGATGGTTATATAAATAATCCGTTATTGATGGATTATTCAACAATGAAAAAATCATAACCGTATAGAATTTATTTCTTGGAGAAAATTTTTTACAAAAAAATTGCGATATCATACAAAAGATGAAGGAGACTGCATATTTAAAAAAATTGAAGTTTATTAATAATTTACTTTTTTTAATTTACAGAAAAAAAAATTTTCTAACAAAGAAGAATAGTGAAATATAATTCTGTATGAAGAAAAAAGGCAAAAGTAACTTGAGGACTATTGTCAGGTGTTGTTGAATCATTTTGGATTTAATATCTCTACATCTCATATCATTCTGGCCTGGAATAACAACAGGTGGTTGACAAGTAAGTTACTTCTGGGGATTATTTTTACTTAAATTGTCTTGGGACTCTGCATAAAATTTTAAAATAATTCATATCTAACTTTCAAATTGTCGAAAGTTATGCAAAAAATTATATTTGAGAATTTTTTAATTTCTTTTTGAAAGAAAAAAAAAGTTGAACAAAAAAAAAGAATTTTATACATGTTTTGGATGTAAATTAAAATATTTGTCTTTTATTTGTATTATATTAAATAAATTTTTTTTTAAATTATTCAGTCCCAGGATTTTTAGGCAATCCCTATGATAAGTATTCGAGATGTCTTTTTTGACTAAATCCAGTCGATGATGAATTTAAAATAGTCTCAAGTTTTGTCAGACTTTTAGCGGACTAATTTTTGCAAAAAAAGTAGTTCCCTAAAATTCTGCAGATTCTATAGAAAAAAATCTCTTAATTTTTTTAAATGATCGATTTAAAATTTTCATTTCCCTCTGAATTAAGTCAAAATTTACCTCGACGATCGTTTATTACGATCACAATATCCATAGAGAGTGACTACGATGAAGAGACACAATACCAAATGGTTTATTGCTTTAATATAGCGGCGTCAATACGAGCGGAACATCAGAGAATCTCGACTTCCGACAGTGGAGCAAATACCTGACCAAGAATGAGATTGTTGCAGAGAGTGGCCATCACTGGTCTATTGTCAGTGATGCTGATCCTTCTCTTGACGGGTGCATTCATTTCTCGTTATGATCTAAGTGGTATTGTTGATCGTGGCATTGGTCCTCAGGAGCATGCTGAACAATTAAATTCTGCATGGCTTCAGGAAAATGTCATTTCAGATCAATATAATGAAAGAGGCGATGGCAAAGGATATAATTTAAATCCAAATGTTGTCGTTAATGTAAGACACAGACATCATGTAGAACCATCGGCGGTTGGTCCACCACCAATTACACATCCAGGAAAATATCCAATTCGTCCACCAAATCCTCCATTAGACGATGTTACATATCAACGAAGAGAAAAAGTTAAAGAGGTAAGTTAATGTTTGAAAATTATTTAAGTTCAGTATAGTTTATTTTATAGGTTAATTGAAAACACGAAAATAAGTGACTAGGGTGAAGAAAGGTAAAAAAAAAAAAGTGAAGAAAGATGCGACAGTTGCGAGGAGATCAATGAATGGCTGAAGGTAAAGTAGTGGGGACAATTCCGAGAAAGGTGGAGGGGATTCTGCATAAAAATAAACTGGAGGGAGATGCTTTGGTAACTTGGAGGGGATACGACGCAGATAAATGGTTAATAGAAACTTGGAGGGGAGACGGAATCAATGAGTGGTCAGAAACAACGTAGCGGGGAGATTAGTCCTCGGAATTATGATTAAAGAATATCGAATAAAAAAAAACAAATAATAAATCATTAGAGATTTGTAATTAAATCCATAATTTTTTTTTATAAATATTACACTATAAATCAAACAAAATTGTGTTTATAAAATAAATTCCCCCCCCCTTTTTTTAGTATTGAATTGAAAAAAAGTTTAGAAATAAAATTTGACTTAATTTTCACTAGTGCCTAAATATCAATAGCATTCGATATAGAGTAAACGGAAATGAAAGAGAGTCGTAAGGGGAAATCGATAAATCCCTTTGTCCGCCGAGACCCCGGTAGTCGATATTCGCACTCGGATTGGCGGCTTTTGAGCGGAAAGGGCATTTAGAAAGAGCGAGGGAGAAAAAAAAATGATCCAATAAAATCGGAATAATTTAAAAGATATGGGAGAAAGTGAAAAAAAAATAATTAAACTAAAATTCAATTTGAAAATTGTATTTTGATTTTCTATTGAAATTTTTAAAGGAAATTTCTTTTTTTAAATAAAAAAATAATAATCCATCAATAAGTATATCGTTGCAATTGAATTTTCACTATAGTAAAGGTGAAATTAATCCTATTTTTCACTGGAAAACAAGCAAATAAAATATGAACTGAAATGCAAATATCTCTTGGCTATATACATATATAAAGTGGAAACTAAACGAAGAACGAATTTGTATAGGTTTTAAAAAAGACATGTTTGATTGAAAATTCGTTTTTTAAAAATTTAATTCACATTAAACAAGATAAAATTTCATTTTACTATTTATGAATATTTCTCCACATTTGTAGATTAATTCTATTTAAAAAAAAACATAAATTTTTTTGATTCGCAAATATATTTTTTTTTTTCACCGACAAATCTTATCTAACGTTTGTATCTATGTCTAACAACTGCTTTTATACACTTTTAAATTGTAGTCTGCTTTTAAGATGGAGTACTCAAAGAGAGAGAAAGAGAGCTTATCTTAATGGCAGTGGTCATTTACACGCAACTAAAGAACATCCACACATTTACTGATTTAAAATGCAGTTTTTCTGAAAAAATTTATCTTCTCTCTGCACAATTTTTACATTTAAAAATATTTTCTTATTGATTGCCAAAAAAAAAAAGTAGAGGAAAAATTATTAAGAAGTTGTTAAAAAAAAATAGATATTATTTTTTAATCTCAAATTAAATATATTTGATTTTCACATTTGATCGTTCAAAGAAAGCTCACTTGGAATTAAGTAAATGTTCAAGATGAAATGAGAACGTTGCAAGATATACTTCCATTTCCAAAGACGTTAATGTAATTGACTCGTTATCGCTGAAATCTTTTTACGTATCAGCACAACCCACTTTTTTTTTTTTAGGGAGTTTTAATGCTCTTCTCTTACTTCTAAATTGATTATCAATCACGAAATGCAGTCTATATACGAAAGAGAACATTTTTTTTCCTCTCTCTCTCTCTCTACCTTATAGGATCATCCAATCAAAAAGCATTACCTTTAATTATTCTAAAGTGGGCAACATTTTTTTATAACATAAATAAATCCCTCTCAAGATAATTATTATAACACACGGAAAGAAGAAAGAATTTTTATCCCTTAATCGGTATAAAAATTAACTGTAACAAATTTTATCAATGGCGCCACTGTCTATGTGAATTAGCATTGGTGGCGCCATCTACGAGGCACAATTTTGTTGCACTTCAAAAAAAAGAAGCGTATTACTTTTTCTTTAAATTAAAATGGAAAATTAATTTTATAAAATTAGGTTCCCCATTGGCTGAAATGTGTGTGTGTGAATTGAGGGTGACTGAATAATAATATTCTAAGGGGGAGGGGGGAAAGTGCAGAGGGTTCATCCTGCTTTTCATCGTTGTATATTATGTACAAGAAGTGAGGAGGGAAGGGGGGGGGGTGTCGACTGTCGGTGGCTCCACTTAGCGAAGATTAATTCACACTATTAGCTCTCAAGTTGAGTACAATACGACGGGTTTCTGCCTCACAATAATAAACAAAGCCGTAATTATGGCGAGACTCCGCCTGTAAAGCAGCCGGATGACGTGTGGATGGACTGCAATGGATTGTGTTTGGCGGCTTCTGCTTTACCATTTAAACCTAGTATATAGCACCATACGGTACCTATATATATATATATATTTGTGCAAGTGCTCGTTGCAGGTGTGTGACTCTCAGGCCTCTCAAGACGGTACGGAACGTTGGTCCGGATGTTGTACCACTCTTAAGCGTCTTCTACTCACTCCACATTGTTGTTCATTTGTTCCCAGGGTGTTATCGTTCTCACGCTCGCGCGTGTCACTAAATTCGCTAGAACTCACTTTTTCTCTCTCTATCTCTCCCTCTTTTGTGAAAGTGTATTTACTCATATTGTTTAAACAATTGAACGATTTTGTCATTTCACTTGTTCCATTTATAAGATTTATTTCGAAATATAAAAAAAAAGTGATTCGATATCCATTTTATACAGTTTTTAAACTTCCTAAAACCAAAAATGTAGATAAAAAAGAAATGACAACTTTCTGTGAGAAGGAGAAGTTTTAATTTTTTTTTTCCAATGTCAAATTCCATTTTGTTTTGGTCTAGTTGGTTTCGATTTTTTTTTAATCTACTTTCCATTTTGTGGTATTTCAGAGGTAGGAAATGTAATTTTGCTTTCTATGAGTAGGTGGTGTTTGAATCCTTTTTTTTTTGTTTGTTAAATTATATCTTCTATTTATATTTGTCTTGATCTAGTTGGTTTTGATTTTTATTCAATTTATTATCAATATTTTTGTATTTTGCGGTTATAAATAAAAACGTTGTATTCTGTGAGTAGGTAGAGTTTCAATTTTTCATCATTTGTTTAATTTTATTTTCCAAATTTGGTCTTGGTTTAGTCGGTTTTGATATATTTTCAATCTATTATTAATATTTTTGTATTTCGCGGTTACAATATGAAACATTGCTTTCTGTGAGTAGGTAGAGTTTCAATTTTTCATCATTTGTTTAATTTTATTTTCCAAATTTAGTCTTGGTTTAGTCGCTTTTGATATATTTTCAATCTAGTATTAATATTTTTGTATTTCGTGGTTACAATTTGAAACATTGCTTTCTGTGAATAGATGAAGTTTCAATTTTTAATCATTTGTTTAATTTTATTTTCCAAATTTGGTCTTGGTTTAGTCGGTTTTGATATATTTTCAATCTATTATTAATATTTTTGTGTTTTGCGGTTAAAATTTGAAACATTGCTTTCTGTGAATAGGTGGAGTTTCAATTTTTAATCATTTGTTTAATTTTATTTTCCAAATTTGGTCTTGGTTTAGTCGGTTTTGATATATTTTCAATCTATTATTAATATTTTTGTATTTCGCGGTTACAATTTGAAAAAATTGCTTTCTGTGAATAGGTGGAGTTTCAATTTTTTTCTTCAGTTGCTAAATTTTATCCTCTATTTTGTCTTTATCTAATCGGTTTTGATTTATTTTCAATCTACTCGACATTTTATTCTGTATTTCAGGGTTAAAAATCAAAACAATGCCTTCTGTAAGTAGGTAGAGTTTCAATCTTTCATTATTTATTTAATTTTTTTCGTCTGTTTCGTCTTGGTCAAGTTCATTTTGATTTAGTTTAAATTTACTTTCAATATTGTTGTCTTTCAGAGCTACAAATGAAAACAATGCTTTCTGTGAGAAGGTGCAGTTTCAGTAATTCATTATTTGTCAAATTTAACCTCCACCTTGTCATAATTAAATTAGTTAATTATTTTTCCAATCTTCTCGACATTTTCTTTATATTTTAGGCCTACGAATTGAAACTTTGCTTTCTGTGAGTGGGAGAAGTTTAAAGCTTTCTTTATTTATTAAATATAATCTCTATTTTCTCTTCATCTAGTCGGTTTTGATTTATTTAAATCTACTCTCATTTTTTTTTTGTATTTCAGAGCTAGGAATCAAAACTTTGCCTTCTGTATGTGAGAAGGAGATGTTTGAATTTTTCATTTATTTGATAAATTTAATCTTCATTTGTATAAAAAAGAAATCGAATCTAGCTAAACTAGGTTAAATACGAGAAAATTAAAGAATGATTTAAACTCCACCTTCTCACCGAGAACAAGGTTTTGAATTATTTAATCGACAGGAGAAAAATTGAATAATTTTAATTTTTTATTTTATTTTCCATAGATATATATCTCAATGATTTCTTAAACTTTTTTTTTTTTTGGAGTGCATCATTTATTATTTTATGATTTTACGTTTTTCCACGTACCTTTAAACTACATTATCCTGTCTTTTTCATTCAATATTTCATAATCTACGACTTTTATCTTTTTTCCCCTCCTGGATTCTATATATGCTTGGTTCTTTACAAAAATCCCCTTTTCCCCATATATATATATATACATACTAGGTCATTAATTTTACACTTCTTTTTCTTTTCTGTATATATATATTACTACTTCATATGGTACTTTTTTGCTATTCTATTTTTTCATCAATAAATTTTCTTTTTATTTACATAAAATTCAATACTTTTAAAATAATTGATTTTAATAGTATTTTTTTCAAAATTGTAAGTAAATAATAATTAATGATGAAAAAGAAATGTACTTATATAATTACAAGAATAAGTAATGGTGTGTGTAAAAAATAATACACGAGCATTCGCGTAATGAAAAAGTAAAAATGGGGAGAGAAAAAAATTGAGTTAAACCTGTATTGTATATATATATAGTTGGCTAATGGTTTAATCCTAACATGATTTTTAATGAAATTAGTATAGCAATGTGTGTGGATCAGAGGTTGCTTTTGTCGGTAGTTCTTCGAATTAACTGCAATTACAAAGATAATGGTGAAGGGGTTGGATCGTCATGCGACAGCTGCTGACTCTGAAAAACCCCTTGCACTTTTCTTAACCACACTCTTTCAGGGTCTACTTTTTTTTTTATTTTTAATCGAAAATCCTTAGACTCCAATTATTGGAAAGACGTGATAGAATTTTAGTTTCTCCTTTTTCACCTTCTTCTAAAATACAATTAAATTTCTAAGAATTTTTTCCCTTAGCAACCGTTGCTAAGGATTTTTTTTTCCTTAGCAACGGTTGCTAAGAATTTCTTTTCCTCAGCAACCGTTGCTAAGGGTTTTTATTCCTTAGCAATGGTTGCTGAGGATTTTTGTTTTTTTTTTTTTGATTGTCAAAAGACTTTTAGCGGAGTACCGAATATGAAGATGCAAATGTTGGAATATGACTTTATTTTTTTTTTATAGAGAGTTTTTATTTTTTTTTACGAGAATAAAGAGCGATACATTGAGGGGACAAAAGGTCGGTCTTCTTCACTTCCTTCGACTCATGGTGCCACCGACAGTATTATATTGCCCCTAAATTATGCCAGCGTAAAAAAACAAAATGAAAAAAAAAAAAAAAAATGATGAAGCGACATAGTAGTTTGTGCAGCAGCAAATGGCTCGAAAAATCAAAAAAAAAAAAAAAAAAGAACGGATATGTCTCCGTCTACTATAGAGAAGATATAACTTTTTCTCGGAAAGACTTTTTTTTATCTCTTGGGGAATAAACAAAAAACAAAATTTACATAACAAATTTACTTTTTCTCTAAATTAAATTTTTATTTACTAAAAAATATATAAAATATTTATTTCTAAAAAATTTAAATTATAAATATTTATTTTTTAATTGATATTTATATGAGGGGCTGATAGTAAAAATGGTTTAAAATAACATTGGGAGCAAAAGTGGGATAAGTGACTTGGGAGCAAAAACGGGTTAAAATGATTCGTGTAATTTATTGATAAATTCATTATATTAACGATTAAAAAATATTAACAATAGGAAAAAATGCATATTTTATTATAATTAATATTTTTTAATCGATAATATAATGAATTTATCAATAAATTACACGAATCATTTTAACCCGTTTTTGCTCCCAAGTCACTTATCCCACTTTTGCTCCCAATGTTTTTTTAAACCATTTTTACTATCAGCCCCTCATATATATATTAGAAAATAAATGTTTATAATTAAAATTTTTTATATATAAAAAAATCCAAATACTTATAATTATTTGGTATATCAGTGAAAGAAAAAAAAATTTTTTTTAAATTTGTTGGAAAGATCAAAAGAAATTTTTAGAATCAAATGAATACTCAAGAGTGCATAAGAGCGTTAATCTCATTATTCCCAAGCGAATGGCGAAAAGGCCTGCAAGAAGGGGCAACAATTTTACTGTCAATTTTTCTTGGCCACTAGGCGGAAAATTACATTTAGTCTTTTTTTTTCATGAAAAAAAAAAAAAGAAAAAACTTGATTATATATATAGATATAGTATGTGATCCTAGATTCAAAACGAGTCTAAAGAGTCCTTCAGTGGACGCCCTCCTGAGATCAGCAATAGAGCATTCAGGCAAAAGGATGTCCTTATTTCAGCCAGAGGCTCAATTACAGTATATCCACTCGTTAACTATACGATCTCATTAAATCCTCAAGTCCTTTTCTTATCTTATTCCAAAAAAAAAAAAAAAAAAAAAAATATTCCCTCTCTCAAAAAGAAAAAAAAAATACATTATCATTTTTTTTTTCACTTTTTTTATTTGTCAAGTATATTTTTAATGTTTAATAAAATAAAAAATGTTGAAAAATGTATATATTGCAAGGATGGAAAATATTTTTATCACAATTTTTTTTTCATATGTAAAAAAATATGTTTCGATACAAATTAAATTTTTATAAATTAAATTCAGAGATAAAATTAAATATCTGATTGAGCGAAGAAATAAAATATTGAAGTATTTAGAGAGAAATGCTAAAATTATTTTTTAATATATTTGAAATAAAATACGATAAAATTAAATTTTACTATAAAAATAAACTAAAGAATTTTTTGATCAAATTAATTTTTAAATTGAAAATACGGAAATTGAATTTAAGTTATATAGAAGTATAAAACTGATTCTCTCAAATAGGCGTTAAAAAAAAGTGTGAAATAAAAACAATAAAGATAATAAAAAATTTGAAATTATTGATAGAATTTTTTTTTCACTTATTTTTCACATCACGGAAAGTTAGTTTACGTCTCACGTGAAAGGGCAATTATCGTAAACCCTTCGTAGAACGAAGGGACGATTATCCGATCTGCAGAGGATCATACTTCACAAGCGACATTGTGCAACATCCAACATGAAATTAAATGAAATGATACTTTATGTGGCTTATAGAGAAAGAGAGAGAGAGAGAAAGAAAGAGTGACTTTGATGTGAAAAAGCTCGACCCCCGGCTAACAACCGGCTGATGTGACTTTATAGTTTATATGGCAAGCAAGAGGAAGAAACGCGCGCGACGATTTCAATGTGGTTTTCTTTTTCATTTATGTTTCCTTCTTCTTCTTCTTTTTCTTCTTTTTTTTTTCTTCATTTTCTTTTTCATTGCCGTATGTCAAAGACATGTATGTGTGATGCGGTGGTTCTTGAGTTTGTTGAAAAGTGCCGGGTAAGAAAATGATGCGAGAGAGAGAGAGAGAGAGAGAGGAGACGATTCAAGTACATAACTGACTCGATTTTTTGCCACATTCCAAACCCCCCTACTTGGGAAAACTCGTTGCACTGGAGCCACCAAGCTACCAAGTCTTTCCTTTCATTACTCTCGAAACCTGTCGAGAGGCAAAAAAATAAAGTTACAGGTGCAAAACGATTTTTTTTTCACTCCATTTCCAATGACTTTAAGTAGTACCTTCACATTCCGATTAGTTCTTCAAATTGATTGGCTTACAGTAAAAATGACAATTAACTTTTTAAATACAATTTTTAATATACAAATAATTAATCTCAGAAATATTTACGTTGTTCCAGGAATGAAAATATGTCCCTAAAAATAAAATCCATAAGTAATATCTCAGAAATATCTACGTTATCCCAGAAATGTCAGTTTGTTCCTAAAAAAAATCCATAAGTAATATCTCAGAAATATCTACGTTGTCCCAGAAATGCAAATTTGTCCCTAAAAAATCCATCGTAAGATAAATAATATCTCAGAAATATCTACATTATCCCAGGAATGTCAGTTTGTTCCTAAAAAAATCCATAAGTAATATCTCAGAAATATCTACGTTATCCCAGGAATGTCAGTTTGTTCTTAAAAAATCCATAAGTAATATCTCAGAAATATCTACGTTGTCCCAGAAGTGCAAATTTGTCCCTAAAAAAATCCATAAGTAATATCTCAGAAATATCTACGTTATCCCAGGAATGTCAGTTTGTTCCTAAAAAACCCATAAGTAATATCTCAGAAATATCTACGTTGTCCCAGAGATGCAAATTTGTCCCTAAAATATCCATCGTAGGATAAATAATATCTCAGAAATATCTACGTTATCCCAACAATTTCTGTTTGTCCCTAAAAAATTCATCGTAGGATAAATAATACCCTAGGAATATTTACGTTGTCCCAGGAATATCCCGGTTGTCCCATAGATGTATTTTGAAATTTTTCCAGAATGTCATTTTGTCCCAAAGATATTACACAATGATGTCTAGGAATTATTATGCGGAATGCGATGTTAATTCAATGACATTAAATGAAGATCTATAATATTAAAGGAACATTCACGTTGTCCCATAGATATTCCGCGAATATGTTGAAGAAGTGGAGGATGTATTTGTTGTCCAAGGAATATCTAAAAACAAATTTTTTTAAGTATCCCAAGTTGCCTTAAGGGAATTACATGAAGATGTAGAATATCTAAGGAATATTCTGTTTTTGTTGTAGAGATGCCGGAAAATATCTCAGGAATATCTGAGGAATATTCGTCTTGTCCCAGGTATGCCAAAAAGCTTCTCTGGAATATCAGATTGTCCGAAGGATATTACGTGAAAATGAATAATACCTGCTTTGTTATGGCAGGTTGTCCCAAGGATATTCCATGAATATGTAGAATAATTTAGAAATATCCAGGTTGTCCCACATTCCCCATTGAATTTAGATATCTAAATAATATTCCATGAATGTCTATGATATTTCAGGAATATTTTAACTATCTGAAAAAATTATATAAATATCTAAAAAAAAATTAAGTACGATATAAACTTGTCTCAGAGACGTTGAAGATATTCCAGTGTTGTATCTGCTGTCCCAGAAATATCTCACCATTTCTTAATAGTATCTTTTTGTTATCCACTTGAAATTATTTATTAATTATATTATATCATCGAATAATTTTTATTGTTTCGATTTTGAAAAAAAAAATTAACAATTTATTTATTATAAAAAATAATAATGTTTCGACTCGAAAAGAGTTATGACGCATTTTTTTTTTATCAGAAGAGTTTGTACACATCCAGTTAGCATAATTTACTTACTGCACTGGGTGGGTGTTTTTTTTACATTGTCTATCTAAAATATATATATACATTTGTGTTTTGAATCGAATGCGCGTGGAGATTTATGTTTGGACCGCTTGTAAGCTCTGCAGGTGTCAAACACGTTTATTTGTAGCAAAATGTTCGATCTACTAATGTTTTGCTTATTTTCTACATGTGTTTTTTTTTTATTGTCCACAGATGATGAAATATGGTTGGGATAACTACAAAAGGTATGCCTGGGGCAAAAATGAACTCAGTCCAGTCACCAAGAAGGGACATAGTCCAAGCATTTTTTCAAAAGCATCAATGGGTGCAACAATTGTCGATGGTTTGGATACACTTTACATTATGGGACTTCATGAAGAGTATAAAGAAGGACATAATTGGATTCGTGATCATTTGAATTTCGATGTTGTGAGTATTTTATTTTTATTAATATACTTTGTGAAATTGTATTGAAAAATTATAAAACGAAAAAAACCGTTTTTTGAAAAATATTGTGATATAATTTGAGAGTTACTGGAATTTTTTTTTGTTTATTGTTAATTTATATATTTTTTTGCATATTTGATTGCTATAGTATAAAGGTATAAAGAAGTATTTTTAGTTTGGTTTCTTCTCAATTGCGTATTCAATGTTACACGACTTAATATAGAATCCTTACAAAAATTCATTCTCTCGAATCCCCCTTTCGTCGTCATTGTAAGTTATCCTTTAGATTTCTAAATATCAAAGGCACCTTCTCGCTTCGCCTGCTGGCGAACTAAAATATTTTTCATCTATCCTTTCATTCCCCCCCCCCTCCTATTATATATATATATATGCTTGAAATAAAACCATTTCTGAAAGATAAAAGAGATCCACAAGAGGATGAAAGTACTAAATCGTGAGATACTTGTCAAAATGTAGTCTTTCATTTTTAACAACGTTTTCCACCTTGAAGAAAGAAATTTTAGAATTTATTACAAAAGTAGAAAACTTTTTTTTGTTTTTCATTGCGCGCAGTATTCAACAAAACATGAATACAACAATATTAGATTATTTTCCAAAAAAAAAAAAACAGTTTTTTTATATACTTTCAAAATTGAATTAAGAAGACATGGTCAATGTGCTTTGAAAGCTTTTCAAAAGCTTCTTTGGTACATTTACGAGAAAATTATTTTCCCTCGTGTTAAGAAAACACTCACGTCACCACTAAATTTATCTTTGGGCGTGTCTTTTCCCTTTGAGCATCAAGATTTCTTTTCATCTCTCAATATTTTCCAACAAAACATCATAAACATACATAACAAAATTGTTATTTCCTTCAAGTGATATTTTAACTGCCCATACAGTATATATAAAAGTTGATGTTTCGTTTTCCATTAAAAAAAAAAAAAACTCGCTTTTTATATTAACTGCAAGAAAAATATTCTCACGATTTAATGTAGTTTCGTTTATATATACGTTTTCTTCTCCTTTAAAAAGAAAACAGTTTTCTTTTACCTCTTTTAAAGAAGCTATACACACGGAGAAAAAAAAGTTAGCTGATATAGCTAACACTATTATAATGAATTTATTATTATTATTATCATTTAGTTTCTCATTTTGGGGAAAAATGATGATATAAAAAATTATCGACATAGAAATCTACATTATCGACTGATGATAAAACAGGAAAAATGAAAATATAAAAAATTACTGATATAGAAATCTACATTACGGACTGATGGTAGAACAAATTTCAAAATTAAAAAATTCTTTCTCTTTACCATCAGTCGGTAATGTAGATTTCTATGTTGGTAATTTTTATATTTTCATTTTCCTATTTATTCATTACTCTTGTTGCTTTTGAGACGTACTTTTTTAGTCCACCAGGTTTTTCGGAGAAGCTGCACTAGTTCTTCATTCAATATTTTTAAATAATAATTAATATTTACTGGCGTCACGCCACCTAATTTTTCTCCATAAAGAAAAAAAACCTAATACATAAGATGGAAAAAATTATTAAATATTAAAATTCACCAAATTAGATTTGTCAATTACTGACCAATTTATCATTTAAAGTGATATAAATGGAATTTATTCCATGAGAATGGAAAATAGGGAATTAATTCTTTAATTAAGTTAATAATTTAATTATTCACATGGGATATAGGATTTGTATGTAAATTGTGTTTATGGAAAGGTTCGCATAGTGAAAATTGTAATATTTCTTGGAATGTGTGAGTAATAATGGTGGTCCTCTTTCTGTGTCCTCGGTTAGTATATAGCAGTAGTGCAGTTTGGAGAGCACTGAGATGAAACTTGGTTGGTTTATCCCAACTTGGTAACACTTCAGTACCTATGGCATTAAGGCGGATTTCTAAGTGGATAACTTCGCGTATTAGCCTTGTACGGTGGTAATAGTGGCCGCCCTCTTGTGTCTCACTTGCGACCTGCTTTCTCTTGCGGTCTTATATTATTCATTCGAGAAATATTGAGAGAATAACAATGAGAGAGTGAGCGAGAGAGAGAGACCAAAACCCTTCAGCTACATTAATTAAGTCTCTTCGATAATTTTGCATATTAATCAAATTTTACAGAAATTTTCATTTTTAAAAATAGATTAATTATATTAATTACCAAATAATTATATTTTATAATTATAATGATCATAATTTTTATTTTTTACAAGAATTTGATTATGAGAGAGAAATATGAATTCAAATTTCGCGCTTTTTAGCAGACGATAAAGCGCCTGCGCGCAAGAGTTTCAAGTTAGGTTAGAAGACGCGACGCGACGCCATTTAACCTCATTTTTGAATTAAGCAAATTATTTAGTAACACTAATTAAATATTCTTGTTCATTAGGAGAAAAATTAACTTTTCTTTTGTCACTGAACTTTTTGGTTGTGATTTAAATATTGTAAATCAGTTCCGATTATTGCGTTGGATCGATTTTGATACGCCTACTTGAAGCGCGATTTATTGGAGCGATCGGAACAGGTTGAAGTCAAAAGTTAAGGTTGGGATGCAAAGTTAGGGATGGGGCTGGCTTTTCAGAGGATCGGTGGGGAAAGACGAAAGGAAAAGGGAGTTCCGAGATGTACGAAGCAATCAGTTATGCCATGCAGAGCCTCGCCTAACAATCTACACCGCGATAGCTCAGTCCGAAGAGTCGCATATATCACGATCCTGATCTCCATACAGAAGCAGCATATATACACCACTCCAAACTCACACACAACGACGCAATTTCACATCCGCAACCTCTGAACCCAAAACTTACTATCACTATACTAATCTATAAATGAATCCCTTCAAATGTATGTTTTTCTATTTTCTTTTTTTGAATCATTTTTCCTCCTTTCTTTTATATTTTTCAGTGAAACGAAATTACATCAATTTTTAAATTCTACCGAAACTCATTTTTTTTGTGATTGGCTCATTTTGAACTGCCACAAAAATGAATTCAGGTTTTTAGCTGTAAAAAAATATTAGGTTATGTTTAGTGATAGTTTTGTACATATTTCTATTATTCATAAATCTTTTGTTTCATAAAATATATTTCAAATCTTTTTTTGTTTGGGGCATATATATATATTTTTTTTCAAAATATGCCAAGTTATTGTTCACTGGTAAAATAATCATTCAGGAAATTTGAGTGGGAATTTGTGATATTGAGACAGATTATATATATATGGGGGGGAGAATTGCTTTTGCGGAAATGTTCTCCAAGTATTTACTGATAATAAGCTCATCACCCTAATATAATCATGAAACTTTGTAGTGACCATGAAACAGTTGGTTGTGTGATATTGATCTACCTATTATATTGGATTATACTCAATATATACATATAGACGATGAATTTCAATAGAATTTGATTTCGATGATTAATTTGTTTATCGATTTGCTTAATATTAAATTGAGTAGGCAAATAATCGAATTAGATGTATAAATAATAATATCGTATTACATTATCCACAAAGTTCTGAATTTCAACTTTATTGACACAATTCTTGAGGAGCAGGTGGTGCAATGAAAATTTCAATTTTCAATTCTTTCTATTGTTGTTTGCAATAAAAAATTTATTATTTCGACAATATTCTTGTATTATTTTTAAATTAGATGAAAAATTTTTGAAATTTTTCTTGATTTGTTACATGGTTTTAGGATGTTATGAGATTTTTATCCAAGTAGCCACTTCAGCATTGTGTTGTCTCTGCGCTTATCTGAAGCACACAAAAGGTAATGTCTCTATTTCTAGCATTCGCATGCCTGAAACTGGAAACATTATCGTATACATATAGTTTCACAGGTGTCTATTCAACGCCGTTGAATGTTGATTTTATCAGATTAAAATCTGTGGGAACCTGACGTCGTCGTAATATCAGATTAAAGCATTTCTTTTTTATAATCTTGAATTACTTTATTTAAATACACTAGAACTCTACTTTATCGAAAAAATTTTTTAATGTATACATAATATTTTGTAATTCTGTTAAAAAAAAAAATGTTTTAAAGGAAAAATTTATTAATGTATTAAATGATAAAATATTCATCATCACCATATATAGAGAATTTTAAAAATTCCTTTCTAGAAGTGGAATAACAAAATGTTTAAAATTGACTTGGATGTTGTTGGCTATAAAATTGATTAGATTTCCTTTCCGGTCACTTGTTTTTCATCTTTAATCTTAAAAAGGCAATATATATAACGGTGATGGCAAATTTTTTTTCAGACAAGTTTCTTTCTGAGAAGATTTTCTGATGTCTATAACAATTTCAGTTAACGACATCGATAAAGGAGAAATAAAAATACCTCTATCACAGAGGCTGTTAATTATTATTTTCTTCTTTTTGTTTAATTACACAATTGAGTTGAATAACTTAATTATATATACATATATATAATTTGCATAATAATTCATTTGTATATTGAAAATTTTATATTTTATAAAATTAGAATTGAATTATTTTTGAATATCAATATTGGCTAAAATTAAAATTAGAAACTGAAATAACTTTAATGAATAGTGAATATAAATTCTTTATCGTATTTTATAGTTTCAAATTTCTTAGCTCATTTTCCAAGTACCTGTGACCGTATCTCATGAGTAGCATTAAACTTAAAGTAAACTGTAATAACTTAGTTAGGATAGCATTTCTCGGATCCTACAGTACGTACCTTCTTTAACTTTTTTATTATGACTTTTCTTCTTTTAAACAAAAAAAAAGAAATTCCAATTTACGTTACTTTTATCAGTGAAATTATCATACTCTTTCCCATAAAATTTAGTTTCAGTTTCAATAATTAGTTAAAATTTCAATAGCAAGAAATTTGCAAAACTGCCATACATAATTTTTTTTATTTAACGAAAATTTTTCTAAAAAAAGATAATCAATTTTAATATTAATCTTGTTAATTTATTTATTTTTATTCACTTAAG